AGGAAAAAAAAAAAAAAAAAAAAAAAAAAAACTTCCAACCCTCGCTGGTGCGGCCCTCAACGGAGACACCTCTTTTCTCTGGCACTCCAGCCCCACAGGGCGAAGGGAAGGGACAGAGAGGACTGAGGTTCAGGACTTCCCCTGGACCAGATTTATTCTACTGGGGTTCCGGGGTTAATGGATTTTGCGGCCCCCCCCCAGGCTCTGGGGTGGGGACAAAAATGAGGGGTTCATTGGCTGGGACAGGGCTGTCAGTGAGTGCGATAGGGATCTGGGTGCAGGATCTGGGCGGGAGGTGGAGTGCTGGAGGGGCAGGGTGCGAGGTCTGGGTGGAAGATGGTGTGCAGAAGCAGGTTGGGAGTAGGGTGTCTGGACCGCGGAGAGGGAGGGCAAGAGCAAAGGAAGGTGCAGTGTGTGGTCAGGAGGGAAGGTGCACGAACAAGAGTAGGTTCAGGAGCAGGGTGGGGGGTAGGGTGTTTGGCCAGGGGAGAGGGCGCAGGAGCAGGTGGAGGGCGTGGGGTCTGGGCATGAGGGGGTTGGGGGCACTTACTTGCTTTTGTGCCCTATGCTACTCCGAGGAATTGTGTCCCAGGCACAGCCCCCTGCTGCTCCCATTGGTCGCAACTCCAGCCAATGGGAGCAGCGGGGAAAGCCTCCAGCCAGCACATCCATGCACTGCTTTTCTCCTAGCTGGGGGAAGGTGAGAGAAGCAGGAGCTGTGTGGAGCTGCTTCTGGCTCTGCTTCTTCCCCACAAGCTGGATCTGGCAGGGAGGCACGGAGATCCCTCCTGAGGGAAGCCAGCACTGGAGCTCCAACATCATGGGTGGGAGAGGGCGCGAGGATGGAGTGCCAGTGCGGGGCTCCCTGCTGTGGTGACAGGGATGGAGAGAGGAGGGAAAGGGGGGGCTGAGCTCGATCTGCAGACCACCTGGAAGGCACCACCTGGATGGCAGTTTGAGAACCACTGCTCTAGGGAATGAAGAGTTCAACACTGGACCATTTCCAACTGCACCCTGGAGTTGGTACTGGGATACAGAACCTTTCAAAGCCAGGGGCATGGTACAAAACTAGCTGGAGCCAGAGATTTATATCAGCTGACAGTTATTTACGCTTTGTGATGGGTTTTATATTTTTAAGTGTTTAATAAACTAAAATTAGACAAAACAGTGTATGAATTGACACCACTGACCTTGCTGAAGAGGCTGTGTGTTGGTAGTAGGATTCTGACCGGCAGATTGGGTTGAACTGTTGGCTGTTGTGGCAGTGACAAGTCTGACATAGTGGAATTTGCTTCCGGGTACCTGAATTTGCTGAACATTGGGGGCTGTTGCCAAGGGAATTATGGTCTTAAACTGAGACGTACTCACTCCTCCAACAGTGATGGTCTGTACTGCTGACTTCACAGCCTGTTGAACAACACAGGCAGAAAAAAAAGTTACCTGACAGTGGTACCAAAGTGTCACCATTTCTATCCCTATATTTGTCAGTGAACAATTAACCCTCCCAATACCTCTCTGAAGCATATCACGCTATTATCAAATGAAAATCTGAGGCACAGCAAGATTAAGCCCCTAGACCACAGAGGAAGACAGTAACAGGGCCAAAGGAGGTGGGTCCCAGTCTCAATCCATTATACTGGACTCCCAAATAAACTAGCATAATTTAAATCAGCAAAACCAACTGTCCTCAAGCAAGAACCAATGCCAAATTAAAAAAAACCCTATACAACAGGCAGTTTGAGAAAGAGCTTTTCCCAAATTATTGTGAATAAAAACAATATCAATGTAACGATTTTTCAGTCTGTGGATCTCCCACATGCTCACTGTCACGCCACCACTCAGCTCCGCATATGTAGAGCATCTCGTTCCACATGTCAGTATAAGAAGCCTACTGTCACCAAGCAGCCTCCAACAGGAAATGGAAATGAGGCTGTAAACCTTTAGGCTTTGAAGTGGTGAGCTGGCTAAGGACAAAAAGGAAGCAACAAGAAGTACCGAGAACAAGGTAAACAAGTTCAAAGCCAGAAATATCACTGGCAGAAGCCACAGAGGAAAAAAAATTAAAAAGGGGAGAGGAAGCGGGAAAGGAATTTGGTAAGCAGCATGCATGTGAAATCTGAAATCTCAGTCGAGGACAACAGTACATTCAGAACAGGGGTGGGGGCTGCTGACCCACAGAGTTGGAGGCCACACACAAGTAACAAGCAAAAAAACCAAACAAACAAAAAAAACAAAAGAAAAAAGAAAAAAAACACCCAACCCTCACTGATGTGGCCCCTGACAGGGAGAAAGTTCATGATACCATCTACAAATGTTGTTAGTCTCTAAGGTGCTGCTAGACTATTCATTATTTTTTGAGGGGGAGAAAGACACTCCCCACATTGCCCTTGCACACTAGAGCCTTGAAGGTCCAGGCTAGATTTTGTATGCTCCCACCACATGGGTTGATGGAACACCAGCGCAGGCTTCCCAATACTGGAGGGGGAGAGGAGCAGCCCCTGGGCCTTACGTTCCTCACCCTGATATAGAACAGGTAAGACTTCATTATTTCAGGCTTTTCCCAAACTACAAACTGAGAAGAGAGCATGTATTTATTTTAAATATACAATTTACTGCTCACAACTTTACCAGCTTCCCCACCTCTCAACTCCCCTGGTTTCCTTCTCTTCTCACATCCAGGCTCTTACAAAATTTGTTGCTTCTCCCTCCATAACATTTCTAAAATCTGCTCTTTCTCTTCAGTCCCACTTTCAAAATTTTGATTCACATCATGACCTGTCTTGTTTAGATGGGCTATTTCTATTTCTTTTTCAGCCTGTCTGCTTACTCCCTCTTCATCTTTCAACTGAGCAGGAGCAAAGTCCAGATCTACTTACTCTAACGAAAGCATAAACCCACTCAACTGATTTATTTTGTCTTGTAACCTTAATTATCAAGAGCAATTCATCTGCAATCATAGCGATAGGTCAGGTGCTGTTATCATAGGCCAATGTGAGCAGAGAATTTCCTCTCCTTTCAGGGCAAACCAGTGTCCGAGAACAACTTTGCTGCTATCTGAAATATAAAGTGTGTTCTTCAAAGGGTCTGATCCAAAGCTCACAGAAGACAGTGGAATGCCTCTCATTGTTTCCGTGATCTCTAGATCTGATCCTGAAAGTTATAATATTCAGGTGACTTAATTATAGGTCCACTGATTGCTTGTATCCAACCAATAACTGACAGTTCATTAAACAAATGTTTAAAAAGGAAGCAGGATTTCATCTGAGAATGAGTTCCAGGTGTATTTAAGCCCCATAAACAACAATTCATATGATCAAATATATATGCAATGGAGAGAGAAACAGTGAAGACCAGGCTGAATTACTGGTAGCTCAGGGAGCCAGAACTATGGGTGACCGTTACCCCTCTATTTTAGCAAAAACAACACTTGCTGCCTTCCATTGGAGTCAGTTCCAAATTTGCACAAGCTCACGGTGGCTGCTTAGCTACTCCCTGTGTGGATAGAATGGACTTGAACCCACAACCTTGGGCAGCAGAGGCTGATGTCTTATCCAGTAGGCCACTGGAGGACCCACTATCAGCTGATATCCTCCCTATCCTTGTTTGTTAGCTAATAATCTCCTCCAAAACTGTGAACTTTTACTTTGCCTAGCAGATGACACTTTATGCACCCTCATCCAAAAGCCCCCAAAAGTGTGTTTCTTCGCAATATCCAACCCATCAATGGCTGCCCACTGAAATTACCATCCAAGGAGTCATCCTTTAGTAGTACAACACTAAGAAGTACTTACACATATCCCAGAATAAGTTTAACAACAAAGAACAGAGATTTAAGCGATCCTAAGCAAAGCTAATAGAAACAGATGTGAAAAAGTCCCAGAGGCGTATCCATCCCATGTTAGTCTGTAACTTGAAAAACATTATCTCTCTCTCTCTCTCTCTCTCACACACACACACACACACACACACACACACACACACACACACACCCCCCTACCCTTAACTCTGGCAAATTAATCTTATCTAAAACAGCCTCTCACCTAAAACTTTTCCTGTAGTTTACTAGCATTCAGTTATACCGGGAGCCAGATTTCCAAGCTTCCCCTACACCCTACAAGGGACCTCACTAAATGGATAAGCATCATGTCTCCCCCTGCTCCCCTTTTTTTAAATAGGCCCTTTCACCTCTGAAATGTATCCTTTCAAGCAACCCTCCTGGGTTCCCCCTCCCATTTGTCCTTTAGGGTGTAGACGCCATGCTGTCTATATTGATATTCAGTTAATTTGCTTTTCCTATTACCTCAGTATGCAAATGTAATCCCCATTGTCTTTGGCTAACTCTGCTTCATTTACATCAGAGACGGCAAGATAATAATCTACCCTTCCTGTCTAGCAGAAAACCCTTTTTTTCTTTGATTCCAGACTTGGTTTAAAGCATATCGGAAAGTATCCACAATTTTCCTATAGCGTTAATACATACATTTCACTTCTAATATTCTAGTCATTAATATTGTCTTCATATGTGACTATATTACAATGATACCTTGCACACCATTCTTTATAGATAAATGGAGTGAGTTTTCAGGCCTGGTAGGAGTTGCTGTTACATGACAATGAACCAATTGCCAATTGACCCTAGGAGCCTCTCAGTGTCTCAAGTATATTCAACACACAAGTTTATGCATAAGGCTGAAAGCTGTCCCCTTCAACAACAGAAGTTGGTCTAATAAAAGATATTACCTGATCCATCTTGTCTCTATTATCCTGGGACCACATGGTTACAACAGTACATGCAACATGTTTCTGGACAGTTACAAGACACCTTGGAAAAAGTTGATAGGCTCAATTAAGTGTGATTTCATGTCATGTTAATTGCAACACAATTAACAGACTATTAACAAACACAATTAACAAGCCTATTCTATTGTACAATTAACAAGCCTATTGTTCTATTGTATAGAAAGGAATCTATACAAAGGAATCTATACAAGGATGAGACACCTGTGAATTTACTAGGCATTACAAAATATATGAGTGCCTGATAGCCCATGCTATTGCATAGATGTCAGTGGTAATGCTACATATCTAAAGCCAACAACGGCTGGGAACTAAAAAATGTGGAGAGTACCAGACAGCAGATTCCAGTGGTGACTGAACCTGGTGATATTCTAAACAAAATGAGTTCTACACCACGCTTACACTTGTTTCCATCGCCTTGCACTGACTCTCACATTCCAAGCTTCTGAGTAAGAGAGTACCAATCCTTTATTATTTAGATAACTCATTCACAACAAGTCACTACAGTTTAACTGCCATACCAGAATAGCAATCAATGTAGCTAATGGCAGGATCTTGAATAAAGATCAAGCCATTTTGTTTCCATAAGCAAAAAAACATTTGCTGGTCAGCTACTAATGACACAAATGCAGATGATCAATACTCTGAGGTCAGGCAATTAGAACGTATGACCATATTTTAATCCTTTTTATTAAGCAGTACAAACATTTCGCTAGACTGAACTACAGTGAGGGCCTCATGCGGGATGCTCCTAAGCAGACAATTTTCTGCAAGATCAGCAACCAAGTTTACAGCTAAATGAATAATGTAACTGAGCAGAAGCAGAAGTCATTAAGTTCAGCATATATTGCTATTTCATATTTTAGCAACACAGACTTACTGGCAAATTTAAACACCAACATGAAAAGGCTATTTTCAGAGCAAAGAGAAGCAAAAATGGAGATTCAGGTCTTACCCATCTCTTCTGCTTTCGAGCCAACTAAAAATGTTCCAGTAAGTGTCTAAAAGTGATATTTTCTACACTGCACAGCTGAATGGCTCTGTCAGACTCATTCAGAAGAGGCTGGTTTTCCTTACAGAAGGAAGATATTCCCAGGCTATAAAAGATTAAGTTAATATTCTGGCTCTTGATAAGACCCGAAGGAAGGTTTCTCCCCAGAAAGCACCAGCATTACATCCAATATACCGAATATCGCACTGCAAAAATTTTACTGGGAATTATGAACCACAAGACAATGCCAGTACACGTGTTCTGTTGTGGCTGACCACAACAATCCTTCCCACATAAGAAACCCCAAGCCTATGCTAAACAACCAATATATGGTGTGAAACAAAAGTCTTCGGAAGACAGTCTACAAACAGATGTTAGCCTGACACAAACACCACAGTCCTTCCTGAACAGAATATAGACAAAGCATTTACAAATCCTTGAAGAGAAAGATATGGGCCCTTAACTCATGCTTCGGTAGCAACTTTATTAGGCAATGTATTTGGAAAAAAGTATGTAACCATAGCTATTTGATGGATACTTTGGTTCATCTCAGGCAAAGCAATCATTTTCACATGTACTGTACTCATCCGATGAAGTGGGTTTTACTCACGAAAGCTCCTGATCTAATATATTTGTTAGTCTCTAAGGTACTACAGGACTGCTCGCTGTTTTATTGTCACACTAAGTTTCCCTATGATGTACTGTGCTATTGGAATATATAGCTACTAAGCTGCACTGAAGAAACTGTCTTTCTCTGTTTGCAGTGTTGCTGCAACCACGCTAGTCCTCCAAAGATATCAGCGAGACTGGATGGGTGAGGGAATATTGTTTACTAGACCAGTTTCTACTGAAACAAAATACAGGACTATGTAGCACTTTAAAGACTAACAAGATGGTTTATTAGGTGATGAGCTTTCGTGGGCCAGACCCACTTCCTCAGATCAAATAGTGGAAGAAAATAGTCGCAACCATATATACCAAAGGATACAATTAAAAAAAAACCCATATGAAAAGGACAAATCAAATTTCAGAAGTGGTGTGTCATCACCTACAACCCCCAACTTAAACCTGTCCAACACATTATCAATAAAAATGGTATTAGAGGTGATAATTGGGGAAGCTATCCTGGTAATGGGTAAGATAGTTGGGGTCTTTGTTCAATCCGCCCCCCGGAGAGTGTCGAATTTTAACATGAATGACAGTTCAGAGGATTCCCTTTCAAGTGCAGATGAACACACATGAAAAGGACAAATCAAATTTCAGAACAGAAGAGGGATGGGAGGGGGGGAAGCTATCTTTGTAATGGGTAAGATAATTAGATTGTTTATTCAGACTCAGGTGTAAAGTGTCGACTTTAAGCATGAATAACAGTTCAGAGGATTCCCTTTCAAGTGCAATTTTAAAAGGCTTTTGATGCAGGTAATTAAGTTGTTGAGACAATGTCCTTTCTGGTTGAAATGGCAAGAAACTGTTTTTTCTTTGTGATCCTGTCTAATATCTGTTTTGTGGGCATTGATCCTTTGGCGAAGTGTCTGAGACGTTTGTCCAATGTACATAGCAGATGGACACTTTCGGCACATGATAGCATAAATTATATTTCTGGATGCGCAGGAATATGTGGTATCTTACCCAATACAAAGATAGCTTCCCCAATTATCACCTCTAATATCATTAGCTCACAGACATTTACCTTTCCCCCTCCCCCTTCTGTTCTGAAATTTGATTTGTCCTTTTCATACGTGTTCATTTTTTTAATTGTATCCTTTGGTATATATGGTTGTGACAATTTTCTTCCACTATTTGATCTGAGGAAGTGGGTCTGGCCCACGAAAGCTCATCACCTAATAAACCATCTTGTTAGTCTTTAAAGTGCTACATAGTCCTGTTTTTTGTTTCAGCTTCACCAGACTAACATGGCTACATTTCTATCAGTTTCTACTGATGAGACACAAGCTTACACAGAACTCTTTTTCGGATCTGGAAAAGGTACTAGGAGTGTCACAGCAAAACAGACAGTGGAACATTTTGTTTAACACAAATAATTAACAGGGGACAATGGGTCAGCATTTTCATTGTGCTCCCTTGTCAGCAATAAGGTTACAGATTTACAATGATGTTATCCCTTAACCTCCCATTCTGTCCTACGACTGCAGAGATGGTTACCAGCCTCATCACCTTGAAAGATCTCAGAGTGGGTTTACTACTTATGATAAACAATCTGTTCCAGCACAAATTTAGCTCCAACCCTGAGAACTTTGACCAGTTCTGAAGACGACCTTGTGTAGCTCAAAAACTTGTCTCTTTTACCAACTTAAGCTGGTCCAATAAAAGACACATTGGTTATTCTTGGTAGAGAAATAACCTTGGGAGAGAGAGATTACACCAAAAGAAACAATTTTTTTAAGCCAAGCCAGAATGTTTATTGGGGTTGTGTTGTCTCATTTTCTTGTCCATCTTCAACAACGCATGGTGCTTCTTATTGTAAGGATAATGATGAAGCATTTGAGATAAAGTTTAAAAGGGAAGAAATGAAGAGGAAAGCACTCAACAGAGGCCTTGGTGATGTCTTGTTATAAGCCAACAGCTCTCAAGATAGATAAGCTGAGCCACTCAGTGTTAGTTCCGGATGTCCCAAGGCATCAAGTCTCTATTATGCATCAGAAGCTTATATTAGCTCTAGCTTTTGGGCTACCAAACAAATAGATACTGTTTGGCAATTCCTTATTACCATACATAACATAAAAGAGTATCATCTGGCAAATGTATAGCAGTTTGGGAAGATACTTAATTCTTTTCTACAACATACTCTCAAACACGAACGGTTGACCACTCTCCCTATTTCCAGCCCTGATTCCTTTTGTGAGCCACATATTTGTTCATTAAAAGAAGGGGGTAGTGCTGCATGCAGAAAAAAATATTAATAAGAGTTTGACATCACCAGATGTTAGACTCCACTTCTGGTTTTACACTATGAAAAAAATTCTGCTCTAGTTTCACGAGAGTCTTGAAGAGCAAGACTTTATTTCCATTGTTCCCAGTACTTGGGAACTGCAATATGTGTGGAACAGAATATGCAAAATGAGAGACCTGCTGTATTTTGACCAAATTTTCTCAGTGAAGACAGAGTAGCAGCCTTAACTTTCTCTACTTGTGTTCGTTTGTCTCTTTTTGCTTGCATAAATTGAGAAAGGTATTCTGCTGATTAATTCAATTTACTCAACACCAGACTTCTTTGTACTCCATACTAAAATAAGATGCAAAGCAGGTATCATCTGCCTAATAATGCTCAACTAGCACAATGATGAGAACAACACCTAGACAGATAAATGAGTGAACCTTGGCAAAATTGCTGTGGACTGAAGCTATAGGCTTCTGCAATACACAGCCTAAAACTTGGTATGAATTTATCTTTCCTATGGGCCCAGTTCTTCAGGCTCTTTGGGCACAGAACTCCCATTGAGGAGTTTCTGTGGAAAGCAGTTGTACAGTCAGCACCTGTAGTGAGGCAACTTGATAGTATGTTAGTCCCAAGTAAAATTAAATAAATATTAAACACAGAGGATATGAAATAGGCACTGAATCAGTTTGTGATGAGAGGAAACCTACATCTCCCAAAAGGATCAAATAGCTGAAAAGGGTGCAGAGTAAGGCTGATTTTGAACATTATACAGCTTTTCCGCTCACAACAAAATGTGGAAGTGGCATGTTTTAAAAAACAGCCTCTCTTATCATATTGTATTTGGCATCCTGAAAACCCTGATTTCATTGTTCCCAGATTGGTCTGCTCCAAGACTTCTGTATTTGTGGAATACATCACAATTTGAAAGAAGAAACAATTCTGTGTAAGGCTGTACCATTTCTTTATAGATTGGGCCTTGATATGTGGAAAGCAGAGTGCCCACAATCTCCCAGGAAAAATGCAAAAGCTCTGATATTCACGCCTCAAATTCTGAGCTCTCCCTCAACTCCAAGCATCTAGAGAAGGTGCCACAGAAGTACCTCAGAATAGAAAATGATTTGCAGAATATCCTAATATTGCTGTGTTTACTTTTATTTATCCATATTTCAGTTCTTTTCCTTTTGAGGAGACAAAATAATGCCACGTATGTGCAGTTCTAACAGGCAGGAAAATAGCCTAAAACAAATGCAGTCAAACCAAAAAGAGAGAAGAGCTTTCAACAGTTAACCAGTAAAAACAAGTTTAGAGCCCTTTTTATATACTGATGGATTTAGCATCTGCTCTTCTCCTATTTAAGAAGCAGCTGATGCACTATTCAACTCCCTAGCTTTGATAAGTCATTGTCCAACTGCTTGGCTTCCCTCTGCACACCTAGTAATCTCAGATTTAATAGCATGCAGTTTGGCTCTGGGTACAAAGACTGCCTGTTCCATGGGATTATGCTTCTGGTGCCTGGCAGGCCCCATGAACAAGAAAACCCTGTTGCAGCTGAGTACTCTCAGTGTAGAAATTGCAGCTCCATGGGAGATACAGTGCACGGAAAGTCAGTATATACCTGAGCAGTTGTGTGGTTAACTATGGCCTTGCCAGGGGAAGAGGGTGCTGACTGCTGCACTGTGAGGATCTGCTGTCCTAAGGCTACATTCAGAGGAACACCCACCGTCTTCTGAGGGGAGTTTGGAGGCTGTGAGGCCACCGACACCACTGTCAGCTGCTGAGCAAAATGAAGAAGCTGGTTAAATTCATTCTGCAGTAAACAAATCCACACTACTAGATCTTCTTCAATGCCCTGCAAACACACACATTGCTCTCATGCAAAAGGCAAGGTGTTTTACCTTATTAGGGGACTTCAGCGGGGAGATAGCTATTTTATTCGGTGTTTGTTGTGTTGTAGAACTTAAAGAAGACCCAATAACTCCACTGTCAGAGATGGTTATGGTCTTTGTTGGTGTTCCTGGAGCAGTCTGTGAAAGAACCCTACCTGTAAACAAGAGGCACAAGGTCACCCTAATTACTTGTATGTTGGTTTATGACAGCCTTACAAGCAAAAGATTTATTTCCATATCATGTATGCTAATAGTATGTCAATTCACTGCTGCACCACCTCACAGGGAAAGTTACCTTGACATATCAGTGAAGCGACACCATATTATTTAAATTATGTTTAATGGGGAGTGATACCACTCAGATAATGTTTAATGGGCCAAGGAACAGAGGAAAACCACTGAAGAAGCAAACCTATTGTTTTGGGAACTTTTCCAAATAAACCTCATATTTAAAAATACCTTGAAAAGATAAATATACACTGACATTTTCAATATGTTGCACTTATTATTCCTTAGTCCCAGAGCTGAGTTTTAGTGGAATCTTCTCTGCACATCATGGTGCTTCACGCAAAAAAATTCTGGCTCTGGCATAAGACTTGCTATCATGAGCCTCTTTGATAAATGCCTGCTCCATGAACACCCATAGATATTTCCATTTTTCAGGAATACCAGCATATTCTGAATACTTAGTACAGCCCACTGAGAGATTAACAAGCCAATCAGCAGAAATGAGCTATTTAAGGGTGGTGAGAGAAGTTTTTTAGTGTATCTGTAAACATTAGTTGTAAATTGAATTTTCTTGTATGTTGTTTATCACTGAGCAATGGAATGAATACACCATTCTGTAAAATGTGCTACCTCCAGAACCAAGTACTACCTGAATAAATATCTGCTCCTAAATGACAGGCAATGGTAATAAGCTTAAACACTAAGTGGCACCACTATCTCATCTCTCTTTCTATTAGATAACATGGATGGTCACACACCTTTTACATTTAGCCTGATGCAGGCATGTGCACCGCTGACTTTGCCCTGCCCTGCTGCCAAATCAGAGGAGAGAAAAGATGGGAGCAGAGCAGAAGAGGTGGGAAGCAGGAGCTGACACTTATATGGGACTGACTTTATATTTGCAAAAAATATCTCATAAAATAGTATCCAACCTAATGGTTAATTCTAGAGTGATTTGTGTACTTATATCAGTTTAATGAGAAACATATTTAAAAGAATCTGAATTCACCTTAAGAGGGATATAATTAAGGTCTTTATGCCCCAAAATTGACAGCCTGTATTAGGTCATAATCCATTTTTCTTAGGTTGCTTTCAGGAAAAAAAAATCCAAAGTTAACAGGCCTGTTTCAACAGCTCCACAAAAAAAGTAAGAGATTTTCCTGCAGGCTGTGTGGTAGGACAGTGGTCAATATCTTCCAAAGAGGCACCAAACTAGCTCTGGGGGCACAAAAAAACTGCACCATTCTCCATCTACACACACTTCTGTGCTGGAAGGTGTGAAGTGATACTGGCTCCTTAAAAACCTTCTCACCCTGCTCCTGCAGCAAGCCAAGGGCACAGGTCGTGTGTACAGGAAGCAGCTCACTAGCCCAACCTTCTCTTCCCCCAGCAGGTAGCCCAGGCTGACACAGCAATTACTGGATGCTCAGAATGAGTACCTTCCAGCTTCTGTGTCTGGACTGAACTTCCACTGAAGTCAATGGAAACACACCCATTCATTTCAATAGGAGGTAGAGCAGGGACTGGGGGAGAGATTGGTGAGAGGCAGAACAAAAAATGAAAACAACAACAATTAAAATGGAAATAAGAAGACAAAAGGTTGGCAAATGGGTCAGAATGCAGAGCAAGAAACAGTGATACCGAGAAGATTAGTGGGACGCCAGCCCACTGGAAATGGGTGCTCCAACAGAATTACCCAGATCAACTGTTTCCTTGTGGTGAGCAATGTTCCTGCTAATTTTTACATCCGCATGTGAAACTGATTTTGTTATGTGCACCAATATGAAAATGATGTGCTACATTTCTCTTCCCCCAGCAGGGAGCTGCCATAGCTGAGGGAGAGGCGCACTCCTTCATCCCCAGGAGACAGTGTCCATGGCCAGAGGAGAGGCAGCTGCAGCAGCTCCATGCACAGCAACCCTGAGCCCCTGTGTGGGGCTAAGCAGGTAGCTGTGTGGCTGCTTAGAGGGAATCCTGGTGCTGAGATATTTCATGTACAATACAACAGCACCAAACATTAAAAAGTCATGTTACTTTCCCCTGCATTTTTAATTAAGATGAATGTATTTGCTATACAGGCACGGGCCAAAGACGAGAAAGAACGAAGCAGTAAGATGACAGATACACGTTAACATGTCAAGCTCCCTGAAACAGCATTATCCTAGAGAAAAATCCCCTCCCCTGAGAAGATTAAGAACGATCTCATCTATAATTTTAGTAAAAATGTACAACGAAAAAAATTCAAATTCACTGTTACTAATAGCCCTCAAATGTAGAGATATTATGTTCTTACAAACCTCACCTTCAATATTTTTCAGTGTTTCCAGTTTGTTTTTCTGAAGATAGCAGCTTTTCCCTTCTCTGTCCTTCCCCTGAGCACCATGTCTTGTTTTTCCTTCCTAATTGGAAGGTTCACTGTTTACATTTACTTTAAAGTTTAAAAAGCTAAAAGCCAGAAGTTATAAGAGCCTCCGAGTCAGCGTAAAAATATCAGATAGTAAGCAAATAGATGCGACACACCCTCCCTGTGAGTTCAGGCCAGAGATTGCCTCAGGTGGCAAGCTGGATTGGCAAACCTTATAAAAGCACTTTCCCCCTTTTTAGAAAAGGAGATGCGCCCATGAGTGATACTTTTCTTACACGGACTGGGGGAAAGAAGTTCTGATTCGTTAGCACACTGGTTTAAAACAAAAATGAAGTTGAAATACAAATCTTTTAAAAAAGCTGAATTGTCAAATTTGAGTTTCTGTTCAGCTAGAAGAGTTTTCAGCAACTGCAGAAGAAACAAACTTAACAGAAACTATAAAAACGTCATGTTCTTACATGTACATGTCTTGCTCTGGTCCTGATTTTAGCTAATTTCCACTCTTTCATATATCATTAGTGAAAATTAGGGATGTTAAATATCAGTTAATTGAATAGTCAAGTAACTTCATTAATTCTTTTCAATTAGTGGACTATAGTCAGTCCCTGGGGGTGAGGCCAGCACCCAGTGTGCTCCGGCCTTACTCTTGAGGAGCCCCCTGACTCTCAACACTACTGCCTCTGTATTAGAGGCAGCAGCAAGGGGTGCGCCAGGCAGGACCTGATCCACGAGGGAAACCAGTTTAAAAACCAGTTCCCCTCACGGACTGGCTGTCAGTTGTCCCATGCTGCTGCCTCTGATAAAGAGGCAGCAGCCCCTGTCTAGGGGGGTCTGAGCTCCCGGACCCAGGACGAGCTAGAATTGAGACGGGCTACCTGCCTGCTATCTGTACACTTCAATTATTTTCCCCCAAGAAATTTGACCATAAGAAAACTATCCTTGCAAAAGCCAAACATACTGCTAAAAAATGTACTGGCTGGGGGCAGGGGAGGGAAATGCATGGAGTCTATAGCATTAACCTATAAGCTTTTGCTTATCAGTTAATCGGCTACACTATTACATCCCTAAATCAGAGCAGTCTTAGCTGATCTGGAGTCAGTCTAACAGCGTAGGCTTTAATGCAGCCAGGTGCAGGATCGTCCATTAAGGAACAGAACGTATTCCATGCTTAAAGGATTCGGAGCTTTGCTTGGGAAAGCAGGGGGAAGGACTTAGGGGCCATTGCAGATGCGCCCCCCCCTCCCCCCGCAAGCGCCCGTGCGCCATGTGCCCGGAGCCAGGCCAGCCCCGAGCACCTGGCGGGCGCATCCAAATGCCCCCGCGGACACCATGGCGCCCGCGGGCACCGTGTTGGGGACCGCGGAACTACACTATTACATCCCTAGTTAAAATTAGTGTTGTTAATTAATTACAATTTTAAATCACACTGTTAAGAAATAGTAGCTCCCACTGGCTGGGAACAGTGATCCACAGCCAACGGGCACTGCAGTCATTTATGTGCAGAAGCGCAGGTAAATACAGCAGTGGCAGCCCACCAGGGGCTAACCGTGGTGAACTGCATCCAGCTCGTGGACTCATATTTGCCTACTGTTGTCCTACAGCTTACTTTTATATTTCATGTAGGCCCTGGGACTAAATACTGAATATATACATTGTCTAGAACAGTTCTCAACCTTTTTTTTTTTTTTTTTTTTTTTTTGGGGGGGGACCCCCCAAAATTTTTTAAAGAACCTACAATATCCCCCAGTACCTACAGTTTTCAGACGCACACAATTTTTTCTACCTTTTTTTTTTTTTTTTTTTTTTTAGGTGAGGACCCCCTAAAATTTTTCAAATGGCAGTGCAAACTCTTTTGCAAATGTACTGTCTGTATTTTACAGCTGAATTTTGTTCAGTTTTCAGTGTAAGTCTTTCATGGACCCCCTTACACGTGGTCAGTGGACCACAGGCTGAGAACCACTAGTCTACAAGAGTAGAAAATACAAAATGGAGAGGGCAAAACCAAATTCATCATTTATCAACGTAGAAAATCATTTCTAGACATGTTTGTTTAGATATTTTTATGAAAGTATGTAAGCACCTAAAAATGGATACGCCATGCAATTTCTTTTAAGTTGCACTGTAAGCTTTAAAGTCACATTTCTGTGTGAAAATACTATGTGACAAATAGCATTTACAATTACAATAAATGGAAGAGATTAGAAGATAAAATCATTTGTTTTTTTCCAGTTCATTCATTTTATGCATTTGCTAGCACTTTCTCCATAATGAATCAGTCAGCTCATTTTCTGTATGAGGACTTTTCCCAAAGAGTAACAGGGAAAAGAAAAGCATCTTAAGAAAAAACAGAAGGCAAACTTGCATAGCTATAAAAACTGGCAGAGGTAATCAAGGGCAGGTGCAAGGCTTTAAGCAACTTTTTAAACTCTAAGACTTTAATTTGACTATCCCTTCAACTGCTAGAGAGCATAGGTCCGGTGACCATATTTTCCAAATAAAAAATGGGGACACATGATATAAGGGCCCTACCATCAATCAAATGTTAGTCACGCCCCAGACCCTTTAAGTCCTGTCCACCTGTAACAGGAAGTCACGCCCCTGGGGATAGTACTTCCAGGGTCAAGATGGACACATTACCAGAAGTAAAGGGTGTCATGAGACCCCTCTAAGAATTCCTCCCACTGTCCTCTACCAATAGGGATGAGTTCAGGCCCCATAGGGCAGCCCCACATGCAGATTTGACCAATCAGGGGGAGTTCCAGGGCAGAGTGATTGGTCTGGAAGTGCATCATGTGACCCCTCTAAGAATTCCTCCCACCCCCCTCTACCAGTCGGGATGCGTTTGGGCCCTGTAGGAGGTGATGTGTTGTGTATGGAGGGGCAGAGTGTGTATGACAGTGCTGTGCCTATGGGCAGTGTGTGTGTGTGGAGATGCTGGTGGCACTGTATGGACATAGTGAAGTGTGTAAAGGCAGGGTGTGTGCAGAGGTGGTGTGCAAGTGGTGCTGCGTATGGTGGTGCTATACCTAGAAGCATGGAGTGAGAGTGCTGGAGGAGCTGCGTGTAGTGGCGGGGCATGTGGAAGTGACACTATGGTCAGGATACATATGGTAGTGTTGTGCACAGGGACAAAATGTGTGAGTACGCTCTGGTGGCACAACAGAGGGTGGGGAGACTGGGTATGGCACTGTGGGCAGGGGTGGAAGGTGTGGAGATGGTGCTGTACGCAGGGGCAGCATGTGCATGGTGACTCTGTGCACAGGGGCAGGTTGTGCATGGTGGCTCTGTGCGCAGGGACAGGGGGTGTGCTGGTCCCAGTGGCACTGTGCGTAGGGGAAGAGGCCATCATGGGGAGCTGGTGCTGACTCCTGGCTGTGGGGGTCTCTGTGCCCTATGAGCCAGACCGGTTCCAGCGGCTTGGAGCGAAAGGCCCAGCTCACCCATCTGGCCTGATGGCGTCCGCGAATGGAAACTGAGCAATGTGAAGCTGGGTTTCCCCTTTTCTTTTTCATTGCTGCTGATTAACTTCACTGCTGAGCATTTAATTAATCACTGAATTAAAATTGTATTGTTTCATATACATTTTGGCTGTGATTTCAAATTGACTCAAATTTACAAAGTTGAAAAGTGTTTTTCCTAACCACCAGAGCTGCACATTTCAGACTCCAGAACGAATTATCAAGACAGATGTATTGTCCAAATGCAGCCATTGAAATGGCACATGGTAGTGAAGAAATTCACTTCTTAATCTCCTGGTCTCTTGTGTGTTAGAATCAGTAAAATTCCAAAAAACATTCAAGATCTATTTACCTAAAGGCCCACTGAACTCTGAAGTTAATGAGAATGGACAGCACATGGCAGATCTGGCCTTTACAGGTTGTGAGAGAAAACTGGCAAACGCTTTTTGAAATTATTTTGCTTCATCAATCCAAAGGGATAGGTAGTTGCTATTTAACTTTAGTGTTTATCAAAAATTGTATTAATTTAAACTAAATTAGTTTTAAACCTCAATGCTCTAGGTTTAGCCTGTTTGAGATTTGTTTTATGTAAGTTGCTCATATTTAAAATCTCATACCAGAACTGTGAATAAAACTGGTGGGTTTTGCTTGGCATCTGTAATGAGTAAGCTTTTCCCCTGGCCTTCCACAAATGCAACTTTTTAGATATAATTTAGTTTTACCTAAAGAACTTATGTATCTGTTCTGAGCTTCCTTTAAAATGAGTGGATTTCAGTATAGGAAATTATGCAGCCTTTCCCCCCATTATAAAGCAACATTGCTGTGATAATTGAGAAAGGAATGTAAGGCTTCATTTATTTTAAGGCAAAATAGCTTTAAACTGTTTTTGTTCCTAGATCTACAGCAGTGTTCCTCAAATCTCTGCCTTCTTCCAAGGCAGGATGTAGTCACTGGTGCACACCGGTGTGACCTTTGGGGAGGCTTTGCTGAGTTCCGGGCTAGGCACTGCAGTTCTAGCAGGGGGCTGGGAGATCGCAGGGCTCCGTGTGTGGAACATTTGGAACTAGGCCTTTGGAATGGCTGTAAGGGCCATCCGCACCTGCCCCCACTGGGCAGAACAAAGCTTTGGAAGGCAGAAGCAGGAAGTTCCAGGGTGCCCCCCCTCCAAACCTCCTCCTCTTTGACACCGCTTTCCAGCCTTGATCGTCTGCTGGCCCCGCGTTCCCTTTGTTTGCATTGCCCCATCTCTCATGAGGGAAGGGAAGGGCTGGGCAGAGGATGCTCCCATTGGCAAGATTCTGTGCACTGCCCTTTCCCTTTCCCCAGCTGGGACAGCCTCGCAGGCACTTCCAGGCGGTTTTCCCCTTTGCTCCCATTGGCCAGATTCTGACCAATCTGATCAGCGCACTTCATCCCCACACACTGCATCTGGCAGGCAGCCTTGGGGTTTCCCTCCTTCCCCCCCGCCAATTCCCACAACATTTCACTCCTTTATGGGGACACTGAGACAGGAGATTTAAAATTGGGACTGTCCCGGAAAATCCGGGATGTACCTAACACACCTGCTGGTGACCCACATCACTGTACATTTATTGACCTAATTCATCCCCACTGTCAGAGATCTCATTACAAGCATTAGCCAAAGAAAACCAAAGCTATTAAAGACTGAACCTCTCTAGTCTGGCACTTTTGGAACCTGACCGGTGCCAAACCATAGAATTTGCTGAACCACAGGAAGTCAATATTGTCTAGCAGCATTACTAACACTTCCACTGCTTGCTGCACTCTTAGAAGACATTTAGGGGTAAGTTAGAGCAGTGGTCCCCAACCCGGTGCCCGCGGGTGCCATGGTGCCCGCCGGGGCATTTATGTGCGCCCGTTGAACGATCTGGGCCAGCTCTGCCCTGGGACGTGGCGCATGCGCGGTGCTGACCCCGGGCACGCAGCACATGGGCAGCCCCTGCCCCGGGTGCGCAGCACATGCACGATGCCAGCCCCAGGCGTGTGGGCAGTCCCGTCTGCGGTGCGTGGGCAGCCCCGCCCCTGGATGCATGGCGCATGAGTGGCCTCGCCCGTGGACGCCCGGCAGCCCCAAAAGGTTGGAGACCACTGAGTTAGAGCTAAGTAACAGCACAGACCACTGACAGCCAGCACTGGTGACCGTAAACAAACTTTATGGAACTGCAGGAAACTTGGCAACACCCATGATAAGTGAACGAAAATCATGCTGATCATGGATGTTGCCAGACCAGAGAGTGCCAGACTAGAAAGGTCCAACATGTAATAAGGTGCAATTTCCTTCTTAGGCAAATGATTATGTGTTTAACATAATTTCAAAGCACTTAAGAGTCCTGGATAGCTTTTTCTGAATTGCATACAAATAAATATTGTATTATCCATATCTGATCTGTCTAGTATTTATCAGCAATTTTAAGCTCATTAGTATGCAGATACAGTCACAGCTGTGACTGAGATATGGTACACCACAACAGCATGTGGGTTTTTTTATCATCTTAAGTAGCTACATTTTAAACATCTAATATTCTGAAATGTGATGCATTTCACAGAGCATCAAAAGCTACAGTAAGTGAACAGCAGGATTTATATTTAGACTGTCTCCATTCCATTCCAAAGCCCTGGAAAAACAGTACAGCAGAACAGGTCATAAAGAAATACAACCTGCAATGACTGGAGACACTTGAGTTGTCTGTCCTGTAACTGCTTTGCTATTAATTGGTTTTGCAAAGATCAGCTTCGTGATGACTGGGCCAGAAGTTGGTGTTCGGGTCTTCTTAGCAATCTGAAAGAGGGACATAGAAGAGAATTTTAAAATAACCTCATAGCATTAGGATTTGAAATAGAATTTTGCTAAGTCACAGTAAAGGGGAGGGGACAACAATCATATAATCGAGCAGAAATGACTCACCTACAATATTCTGCTGTTGTTTCCCTCCCACTCCCAACTTAATTTTTCCCTAGGGGAGAATTAGGTTCTCATTAGTGTCATCTAGTCCACCAGCAAAGAAAGCCACACTACTTCTTTTCCAGGTAAGAAAAATCTGTTCCAAAATGTGCCTAGTCATATAAGGCCGCAGGGCAGAAGTTCTGTAATTGTTTCCAAACTTACCCAGAGTTGTATTTTAGAAGTTGAAGAATATTTGCTGATTCAGTACTGTTTGATTTTGGAGATTTTTAAAATTTCAAACAAGGTATTTATTCCTAGTCTGCATTATTGAAGGAAACTGTTTTTTAGTCCATGAACCCAAACACGGAAGCACACTTCTGCCCCACATCACAGCTGGTGATGGAGAAACCATGGTCAGCATTTGTTGTAAGAAAACGGTAATCAACCCCTGAGAACTTTTAAAGAGCTGCAAATATTCTGTACACAGAAACTCAGAACACATTTCTTCTGCAGTGAACCTTTTATACACGTGAAGACTGATCCAGTCTTCAAAACAATTGCTTGATAAAAGACAGATAATTTTAGTTGGTTGATGGAGCTAAAGTCCAGTGGAAGATTTATAAACAAGCCTTTCATCTCCCCATCCAATTTATGGAAATCAAAACCTGACTTGTTCTGCAGAGCTCTAGGTTGGGTTAGTCATCATGATCAAATCTGATACTAATATCCAGCTGCCAGAGTGTCATGGACTACTGATTTAGATTAAGGGTACCTTGTTCCAGTCACTGGGATAGCAATGGGCAATCTTGATGTGGAAATTGTATTGTGGGCCATTCACGCTCATGAAATTGGAGCGGAAGTGAGGGCTACGGCCGGGGGTGCAGGTTTTTGCGGTGCAGAAGGTTACTCTGGGCTTCGACCAAGGAGTCTGGGGGGGATAAGAGATGAATCAAGGCTGGATCAGAGGACTCAGGGATGTTGGGGGTCTGGGTAGTGCTTACCTCAAACAGCTTCTGGATGCAGTGGCATGTTCTCCCTCTTGCTCTTATGCGGAGGTGCAGCCAAGCAGTTCTGCACGCTGCTTCCTCAGCAGATACCGACCCGCAGCTCTCACTGGCCTTGGCTGCCAGTCAATGGGAGCTGCAGAATTTGTGCTTGGGGGAGAGAGGCAGCATGCAAAGCCCCTGCTTCCAGGAGCTGTGCAGAGCCACGGCATGTGCAGAACGGAGAAAGCCTCCAATCCCACCCCTGGCAGGGGCTTGAGGGAAGGAATAAAAGGTCTGATGTGCCAGATGCAGCCCGTGGGCTGTAGTATGCCCACCCCTGCAGTAGGATATATTTTAATTTGCTGGCCACAAAAGCTCCCTGTAGTTGTCGGCAAGTATAAATTGAGATCCACTGGGATGCCCCCAGCCTCTGGGCATTGTGTGAGAGGAAGGATCCGAAGTACCTATATTCTAAATTAACAGAAGGGTAATTGGGGGGGTGGGGGGGGATAAGAGAAACCTTTGGCGGAAGAATGGGTTGTTTGCTGGCCCCCAAATTCCCACTGGCAGATTTAGTGACAGTGGGAGAGGAGATGGCATGTCTGTCCAGTTGGCCCTTAATTTACAAAATCATGTTCTAGTTCCTCTTTAGACTCCAACCATCAACCATCCCCTCTTCCTCCATTTTTGCCAATGGGGGAAAAGATTCCTAAAATCTCCCCCATCCCTCGTATCTCACTTTGGGATGAGAAAAAATAAAACAGGATGTTCAAAGTAAGGATGTAAAATGCCGTTTAACTGGTTAACCAATGAAAGAGCGTGGGGCACTGGGGGTAAGGGGCTGCTCCAGCCCAATTGGGCTGGAGCGCCCCTCCCATTGCTGGACTGGAACAGCCCCCTGGACATTTCAGCCCACCCCAAATACCAATGCCGGGGAAAGAGGCATGAATATAGAGTATGTCAGTGGTGAAACTCCTTGAGATAAAAGTCATTTCCAGCTTTCAGAACATCCACTCCTAATCACGGGATTTTAGAAGTGAGCCAAGTTGATTGAAGAAAACTTTTGTTTCATCTATTAGGACACTCTGATCAAAAGTCAGCCCTAACATTTGCCAGCATGGTAGATTAGAAGCTTATTTTTCCACTCAACACCACTAGTTACACCACTCTAATTCTACTGACTTGAACGGAGTTACCATGCCATAAAACTAATGGCAGAGTACAGAATCAGGCCCTAAAACGCGGCATCAAAACTGCAATTACATTTCTCTCCATAGTAACCTATAGATAATAAAATCTGTGAACAAGAATTTGGAAACGTAAGTCATGATTTCATATGTCCACAATGCAAGAGGCCATTCAGAGGAAGTTATTGCCACATGAGCTAATTTCTGAAGCTCCTTCAGAAAACCCTAATTATATTAATCACTGACTATGGCACCCATAGCGCTCTGCTTTTAAGAAATGCTGCCACTTTAGAATTGGTCTGCATCAGCACACAATCAATTCAGAGATCAGAACTAGAACTTAGGTCATTTCAGCTCACAGCCATGTACTCCGTGATACACGTCGTATAGACAGTGCCACTGGAGGAGTCAGTGCCCACATATAGTGATGGCTGTGGAAGGCATTAGGCCTGTCACTGCCCGGAGAACCATCTTAGCAAGTTGGCTGTCATCCTTTTCAAGGAATTTAGTGTTACTATCTTGACAATGAAACCTTCCTAGGAAAACAAACCATGTCTCTGTCCTCCCTCAGCTGTACCCAGCCAACAGCAGCAAATGTAAGATGCTTTTAAAACCAGACACAGCTAGAAAACAGATCTCATTTAAACGAAACATGCACTCCTCTGCAGTGCAAAACTATTCCACAGAGAAAAGCTCTACCGTATTCAGTCTGTGGATCAGATCCAGCTGTGGCCTTGAGATTTATTCTCCTCACCTATACTGTACATACTACTCTATGCCTTGGCACTGACATTCTCTTCCATTTCAGAAAGTACAGAATCAAAAGATCAAAATATCTTTAAAAATATAGAAAGAAAATATAGAATATAATGCAGCATGCAGCTTGAAGTACTAAAGCCTAAAAATGAGGCAAATTTTTCCTATTAGGTTCATTAGAATATAAGTGAGACAGAAATCAGTAAACAGAAGTTTGAGAAAAAAATATTATTTGTATATTTACTTAATTATTAAGAAAAATGAGATCTCACCTTCACTGCAGTTTATAATTGTGAAGCATATATGTATAATGAAAGTTAAGAGTTATCGCTAATAATAGATATTACCATAAGGGGCAGCTGTTTAAAATCCTAAAATACATTTGTTTTAAAGAGATTTTTCAATCAGTAAAATTGCTTGTACAATTTTTAAAAATAACAAATGCACATACACCTGTAATCTGTAAATATATGTCTGCTAATAAAACCAATGAAATTGTACTTGGTGGACTTTGCCCTGCCAGAAATCAGTCTCAAATGCTCTAGACTATTATTATAATTCACTTTTACTCTGACGCAACAAGTGACGTCAAAAAGTCAAACTAGTTCAGCAAATAATCCAGTTCTAGCAGGAACACCTTTATAGGAGATGACATTAGGTATTACTCATGAATAGCAATTAATCTGGATTGAAAGCATTGCCATATATCAGACTGCTGCTAACATGAAGTGTTTTGGGTACACTCATACTAGAATTGTGGTGTTTGTTTTTCTTTGTGAAGCAAGCCAGGGTGGTGGGGAGATCAGGTACAGAGCGGGGAGCAGGAGGCGAAAATTGCAGTAGAAACACATTGCAACTAACCCTATGTACTTGAGTCTGACAAGAACATCAGTTTTACTCAACAGCTTCCCAGGACTCCCAGACTTCTGCAGCTCTAGAGAAGCGCTGCCATGTAGACAGCCACAGACCAGGAATCATAGAGCTTCCAGAATCCTGAGACAGTGGGGATCCCCAATAGCCAGCTGGCCCAGCAGTCCGTGGGCCTGTCTAAGCAGCAAAATTATTTCGGAATAACAGCCGTTATTCCAAAATAACAATTCGAGCATGTACACAGCCATTTCGTTATTTTGAAATGATTTTAAAATAATGGGCAGTTTATTCCAAAATCTGTAAACTCCATTCTATGAGGAACAATGCCTATTCCAAAATAGCTATTTCAATATAAGGCATATGTAGACTCTCCACTGCTGCTATTTCGAAATAGCCCCTCACCTGGGCCATTCTAAGTTATTCCTCTCCAGTGCCTCAAGGGGGCTCTAAATCGAGATAGTCCGTCTACATTAGGGAAGCCTGCCTCAGGCTAATTTCGAGGCTTCTCTGCAGTGTAGATGTGCTATTTTAAAATAAATTATTTCGGAATAACTATTCCGGAATAGTTTTTTTTCAAAATTGACATGCAGTATAGACGTAGCCTTGTAAGTCCTGTGGCAACCAGCATGAAGGGCTGCCCATTAGCAGCAGACCCAGCAACCTGGAAGCCCATCCCAGGACTTCCATACTCCCTGACATGGAGCTGGAAGTCGAGCCCTGGTCAGAGTTGAGGCTTCCAGGGCTTCCAGCTGCACAGCAGGCAGGTAGGCTAGAATGTGATTGTGTGCTGATGCAGACAAATTCTAAAGTAACAGCATAAAAGGACTGCCCCAGAGCCTGCACAGCATGCTGGCAGGGAACCAGGCAGGTTTCCAAAAGAACCCTGAGCATGATTCAGCTAAAATTCATTAAATCCAACCTGCTCTCAAGAAATTTCAAGTTTGATGAATTAGTATTTTCCAGTGAAGCTTCTGACCAGCCCTATTAGATTCTTTGAATTCGAGTGTGAAGGATCCTCCTCACAAACAGCTCTCCCCTAAGGAACCGTAGTGGAGCAATAGCATAAGAGAAAAGCATATGGCCCTATTCTCCTGACAGAATACAAAACCGGCTGCTTTGCAAGAATCTTTAGGAAGGGTCAAATTCTGCCCTCTGATGCACACTCACACAGCATGCATCTGTCTAAAGGGAGGTTTCTGCCCTTATCTGTTAGATTAGAATACGCTAAATGATTCTGACCTAAACTTGCAAGTACAACTAATCTATGCATAGTATTCGATCATATCAAATCTGAGAGAGCAAAGGTGAAGGGAAGTACCACACCCATTCGTCAGGAAAGATGGCTGAGCTTGAAGAAACAGGCTCAAGGAGCACTGGGGGTTGGGAGGGAGGGAGGAAGAAACGGGTGGTTTTTAATTTGAAGAGAAGATACCATTGAGGTAGCGTTAATGATTTGCTTTGCCAAAATAACCATGGCACAGGAAACTGAAATCTCTACTGCAACCTACTACCTCTGCCAGTTACCACAGCAAGACAAATTCATCTAGGAATTTTAGGTTAACCTAGCAATTGGAGTGGAAATGGGTCTGCGCACGAGATTAGAAAGAAGCATGAGTAAGGTCAGATCTGCACTCAAAACTTTGGCTGGTAATGTGAGTTGGGATATAATTTTTTAAAAATTATATTTGTATGCTGGCAAAAGTCCTGGTATAGATTCATTAGCAACATCGTAGGAGTCTTTTTGCTGGTATTGTTTATTTCAGTTGGAGAACTGGTATAAGTTATACCATCAAAAGCTCTCTTTTTGCTAGTATAAATTGCTTCTATGCTAGGAGGATTTTCTGGTATAGCTATACCAGCAAACCTTTCCTAGCATAGATGAGGCCCCAGCTTATAATGTATTTACTCTCAGTGACATTGCAGATTCAATACAGCACTAAGAGAGCGCACTGGAATGTTCTGAACGCTTTACTAAATTAATTAGTTTGCAACATAATGGGATTATATCAGTTACTTAAAGTCCAAACTGAAAAACAATGGGCTAAACTGGTATATCTGAGGTCTAACAACTTGCACAACCTTTACTACTTGTGATGATGCACGTTAAGAACTCAGCTAGATTCTCAGATCCCCGGCTGATTTTAATCAATTCACTTTTCAGAGTCAAAGAGTATGTCAAACACATAAATATGACACATAATTAACACATTACACAGCCTTTTATTGGAAGATCTCAAATGTTTTTACAAATCAATTAAGCAAACCTCACAAAAATCCTTGAGGGGAATAGCATCACCATTCCACTCTTGGAGGAGCTAAGGAATGGAAAGTTCAGCAGATCCAGAAAGAGAAGAGCCCCTGACTCCCTTGGTCACAATTAGTCTTCTAAAGAAGGATTCTCAAACTCACTAAGGAATATATTTCACTATTTATACAGAAAAGAAAATGCAATAGTATGGGGGTTAGACACTGTCTGGGAAGGTAAGAGTTATATCTCCAAATCAAGCAAAAGGAAAGATTTGAAAACAAGTCCCCTGGATCCCAGCTGAGTGCCTTAGACACTGGAGCTATGGCTACACTACGAACTTTTTCCGGAAGAGGAAATGCAAATGAAGTGCTCATTTGCATAATCTCTTCTGATCCTTTTTGCAGAAGAGGTTTTTGCAGAAAAAGACACAGTATAGACGGAGCCATTTTGCGCAAAAATACCCTTTTGCATAAGAACCCTTATTCCTCAAGGGTTCCTTATCCTTGAGGAATAAGGATTCTTGCACAAAAGGGTTTTTTTTGTGCAAAATGGCCCCGTCAACACTGCATTTTTTCCCACAAAAACCTCTCACAAAAAGGATCAGAAGAGAATATGCAAATTAGAGTGCAAGAAATGCTAATGAGTGCTTCATTTGTATTTCCTCTTCAGCAAAAACCTGACAGTGTAGTGTAGATGGAGCCATAGTGTGGACAAGATCTCAATAGTAAGATTACCTTTCCTTCACGGAACACCTTCCCTTACATTCATGATCTTATGGATCATGGATTTTTCTCCCAATCACAATGACAGAACATTCCTTGTGAAATCTACAGGAATTTCTTACAAGGAAAAAGTAGTATAAAAGGAAGTGTTTATAGATTTTTGTCTTTGTTGCAATAAGTACTTTGCTGTTTTTAAAACAGTCACATTGTTAACTCTTGGTCTGCAATTTTTCTCCCCAACCCCATCCATTCCTCCCTTCTATATCCCTCGCTTCCCTGCGCTTGCTTGTTTGCCACCTGGTCCTCTTCTCCTTCAGAATGCTTCCCCTTGCACTGGTCCATATCTGACACTACTACATAAACTTCTCTGTAGAAGCAGCTGAAAAAGATGAGGCATCATTATGATCAGCCTGTTTCATTGAGACACTGATGCAGAAGATCACAGTGTCCATGCTAAGCCATGATCCACCTTTATGTATCTTACACATTAAACATATGTATGCAAGTAGCATAGCTTTAAGGATGTAGCTTTTTAAACTAAAAACATTAACAGAAGCTTTTGAAAAGCCAGATGTGAACAGTTTAATCGCTTTTACAAAACGAACCACAGGGGAAGAGCAAGTTCATTTTGTAGAGCAGTGATTCTTAAGGCCCTGCAATTGGACATAAATCAATAATCAGAAAAACCTTCAGAAAACAGTGGAGAACAATGAGGCAGAATTGCAGCCTTTCAAGTCTCAGATGCCATGGGCAAGAGGAAAATCATAAATGTTGAGAGTGCAATGTAGTGTATGCATTTTTTCCCCCTTCGCTTTCTTATAATTGGCAGTATCAGCTCTGTAACTCAAGCCAAATAGCAGGAACTGATCCATTCTTAAACATGTGTGCGCAAAGACACGGGCCTCAGCCTTTTCTAAAGATACTCTGCCAACCTTAACATTAACAATGGAAGCAAAGAGAAATCAGCAAGGAACACTCAAACATTAAAAATCAACATTAGTCAGGGACTTGGTCTCCAGCTTTGATCTGGCTACAAAGCTCTGAGCTGCACTGGAAAAATAAGCCTGAGATTGAATGGTATTTTAAAATATGTAGTCTCAAATGTTCTGCATGTTATAATTTATGTTTGCTTGCTATGAAATATGTATTTGGGAGATTAGCGCTCTATTTTGTTTGTTTGTGGCTCCATTATTTTACATGCACAGAAAACATTCTGTTTTTCATTTAGACTCAATTTTATTCTTCCATCCCTGACTATTTGTGGGGAGATCTCTTTTCCAGATTCAGCCTGGGTATGCTTCAGAAATCTGAACAGCAGTTGAAAAGAAAAAGATTTAGATGACAAAGTTAATATCCATGCAGAATTCAATCTTCCTAAAGGTGTATGGGATTAACTGAAACACTCCATGAAGAATCCTCTCCACTGCAATACATTCTGATGGCCCATACACACACTCTTGAGCTAAACCTTAATCTCCCAAATAGTAGCTAGATGTAAAGAATTTACACTTTAAATAAATTCACCTATGCCTGGAAACACTAGAAGCAATATTCTATATAGTCACACAATGAATTCTGAGGGCTGCATGTGCACATACACAACAAACACAATTTTAACAACAAAAGCTAACATTTGTGAACAGTTTTACTTTTAAAACATAAAAAGTTTTTTGTTTTTTGTTTTTTTAAGAAAAATACAGTCCCTTTTACCTGTACTGCTTTTAACTGCTGGCTTCCTGGTGTCAAAGAGGAGACACCAACGACAGGCTTCACCTCTGGCCTCCCTCCAAGAGTAACTACTTTGATCTGCTGGGCTGGTACCTTAGAGTCTCCTGCTTGAGCCTGAATTGTGGCCTTCTGAGTCTGGGGTAACTGATTGTGGGGTAGTGCTAAGACAATTGGCTGGCCAGACTTTCCCAAAGTTGTCACAATTAGCTTTTGCCCTTCTTGTTTAATAGTTTGATTGCCAGGTTTAAGATCAGCGGCCTTGTTCAGAATAATCGGACTGGCTGAGATAGTGACAGGAGTCTGAGCACCAAGTTTCTGGAGGCCACTTTGCAAGGTAGGCTTTAGCGTCGCATTAGTGTCCATTTTTGTAATTGTGGTGTTCACTGTGACTTGGCTTGAGTGATTGCTGGGCACGATAGCTGGTTCTGTAGTGACTGTGGATGGAGCTATAGTTGCAGAGTCACTGGCTGAGCTTATGTTCACTATTTCTTCCAGTTCTGTTTCCATAGGAATAGCATCTGCCATAGGTGATGCCACAATAACAGCCTCAATGCTATCATCTTCCATCAGAGCTATACCAGTGTCCATTATCTCCTCAGGGAGTAAGCTGTTCACCTCTGCTGAGACCACCTCCATTGTAGATGTTCTGGCAGTAAGCCCAACCACCAGGCACTGCAGCTATATTAAAAAAAAAAAAATCATAAAGGTTAGTAGGTCATAAACTCCATGACAACACACACTACATGAATAGTACTTCCATAGAGGAAAACATAGTTACAGGTGTAAGAATTTTAGTAAACTATATTTTCATTTAAATTTATCCTTGATTCTTTAATTAATTTCCTTGAATTTCCTTTTATTCATAATTTATATTAGTGCTCATCTAACACCACTGTAATATACCTGTATCTCCTTAGGCCAGAGAAAGCCAGACATTAAAATGTAAGGGTTCATGAATGGTTTTAGTGGTCACACTGCCAACATTCATTACCAAGCTCTCATTCCATAGAGTTGTTTGAAGTAGCGAATGTGCTAGTAGTGTACTTGTTTACGAGTTTTAATTTCAGGGATCTCAGCAAAAGCACATGGGAAAGTAGAGCTATTTTAGTGACAAACTTAGTTACCTATTGAACTTAATCACCAACCCATTTGAGAACCAAGCCAATAATGCTGCTTTTCAAAGCCGTGGATTATTTCATGCTTCAGTTGTCCCACAGCTCACTTCTTCTATACTTATTAGAAAAGAAAGAGCCTCAAATTGTGACTGTAATTTAAAACATCCAGTGAATAAATGAACTACTCTGCAGGACACAGTAGGGTGTGCTGAACTGATTAGAAAGAAAAGCAATCTTTAAAAAACAGAGTTAGCAATAGGCTTTATACATGGCAGTCTCTCAGCTTGAAAAACCTCAGAGGGGAAAATTAAAATGGTAGAATCTCCTGTTAATACAATACAAAAGCGTGAATACTGGACTTCCCATTAAAAAGGTAATATATTGTTCATCAACAATGAGCAGCATCTTAAAATGCCTCTTCCCCATTTCCTTCACTTCATACTGAGTGGGTACACCCTGTACCCATTTACAACATTTACACTGAGCCTCAGCGTGGAGCAACTGTAACACCTTGCCCTCACAAACCTGGGTTCCCACGTTGCTGAACAAAGTACAGCAGTTCATTTTTACAGTACTCCCATTCATAATTAATGGATTATTGTTGTGGATGGTTTAAAATGCATGGATTAAATGCAGAGATTGCATTTATTGACTACAATGCCATTGTGCATCTGAATATGCACCATTTTATGATCAAAAGACAAACTGTCACAAAATATCTGAAGATTATTCACCTATGAAGTAGAGAGAATAGGGAAAAACTATAGTATGTTATCTAGTTGTTATGCTGACAGGCTGATGATGAAACCAATTAACAGATTCAGAGGTTCCTACTACTGTAGTTTCAGTTGATTTTTGTTTGTTAGAATGTTGTAAGAAAATTATACAAGAAAAAGATGACCAACAGAACATTTTTATGTTGCAGCTCTATACTTACACATCATTAGCAAGGCTACTCAACATGTGGCCCGCAGGTGGGAGCCAAAAACAAAAAAGTAGTCAATATAATGGTCTTCTGTTTATATGCATTTTAGCAGTTAAATTCCTGGGCTGTCACTGCTCACTAAAAGAGCTGTCATATGGGTGGAAATTGGGTAAATATTGCATTTTATTAATATCAGCAGTACTGACTTAAATGTAGCCTGCGTTTTGTGTAGTCTTGCCTTAATCTTTGTATTCATGCCCTTCAGTGTGAAAGAAGCTATTTGCATATATTTTTGCATGTATATGCAATCACACTTAAGTTGCAGCCTTTGGCATGTGCTGCGAGTATCACTGTGGCCCCCAGACATTCCAAAGTTAAGAAGCCTGGACGTAGATTTTTAGCATCAAATACACTTTAAAAATTTAGAATCCTGGGACAGGTTTACACTATAGATTTACAGCGGTGCAGCTGCATGGGTACAGCTGTGTCACTATAGCACTTCCGATGAAGACAATAGAAAGCTCTCCTGTTAACTTAGAAATTCCACACCCATGAGAGGTGGTAGCTATGTCAATGTGAGAAAGTCTCCTGACAACATAGCACTGTCACCACCGGTGATATCAAAGTAATTTTGTAGTGTAGACAAGAGCCTGGTATTAATGACCTGAGCTAAGTTTGTTTTCTATAATGAACTTGATGGGAAATTTGGGATAGTTTCATAACAATATTTAGCATTAAAACTTCATTATTTGCCTATTTTTAACATACTAATTATTTAAATCAACCACCTTTATTTATTATGTATAGCAAGTGTAGGAAATGTTTTGTATATCATCATAAACACAGTTTGTTATGAACAAGAGTAGGCTTTGTACAAATGCTATGATCCTTTTTTAAAAAAAAAATAATGTTTTTGTTGCTATCAGGAATTGGAAACTTTTCTATAGCTAATTTAAGATCTGTTGGTTCCCTGGGCTAGTAAACAACTGTAGAATCTAGCAGATAAGATGTTAGTTTCACATTTCAAAGGTTGCAAGTTTAAAATTTGTTCCTTCTAATATTATTTCTATTTTTAAAGCAAGGAAGTAATGTATGTGATGACAAATATTTCAGCATTAAAAAAAGCCAAACTAAAAACTGAATGGCTGTTTAAATTGTTAGTGATCAAGTCTCTAGAACTAAAAGCCATTTAAAAAGACAACAGTTGATTTAGTAACCACATCATAGTTATATGACTGCACTGTTCATTTTCTAAGTACGTTTTATTTTTAATATATGATTTTTTAAATAAGAGTTGAACTAATGCAGCAGTGTAATCACTTGTAGTTAGTGAGCTACAAATCTCCCTCTGTATGTATATATTAGAGTGTGTCTGTCTGTTTTTCTGTCTGCAAGTCTGTTTGTTCAAGAACTCCTAAATGGTAAGAGCTAGGACCACCAAATTTGGTATGCAGCTTCCCCTGCTCCTAACTTAAAGCAAGTTCAGGGCTTGGTTGTGCCAGGAGAACTAGAAGCCCCAGAAGCCCCAGGAAAGGACAGTTTTCCATAACATGCAAAAGGAGGGGCTACTGTTTGGAGGGACACGATATGAAAGTGGCCACCAGGGATGAGCCTGCAGGGGAGAGCTATCCTGAAGAGAGGCCACTGGAGGTAGCCATACTACCAAGAGAGCAGCCAGCAGGGCTGGGGCTCTGTCATCTTGCCTGCCAGCAGACTGGTAAGTGCCCCCACTGCCCCAAACCCTTTCCTTCTCTCCCAGCCCTTAGCCGCAGTGCCAGGGGGAGAGGGGAGAGAAAAAAAGGTAGCTGGAGAGGGCCTGGGGAAAGAGAGGCTAGCAGAGGCGAGCTGGAAGAGGGGGAGAAGGGGGAAGAGGGATAGAATAGGCCCCTGGTAGGGCGCCACTGCAGGGCTGTTGCTGCACTTCAAAGGCAAAAGCACTGCAGGGAGCACCGTGCCAGCAGGGGACTCAAGCAGTCCCCCGCTGGCTTCGTGCTCCCTGGGAAGTTTCAAAGCAGCAGTGCCACATGGAGCCCAGGGTCAGCTGGAGACTCCCAGCTGGCCCCAGGCTGCATGTGGCATTTCAAAGCAGCAGCATCACATGGAGTACAGGAGCTGACCCTGGGCTCCACACGGCGCTGCCACTTTGAAGCATCCCTTCCTCCCCCCTCCCCTTGCTGCCTCTTTCTGATACAGTCAGCAAGGAGAGGGGAAGCAAACTAGTCAACTAGTGCATCGACTATCTGATAAACATTTGTTTATAGGATAGTCGACTAGTCATTCACATCCCTACTGTGAACCACAAGTTAAATGTTTAAAAAAAAAAGACTATTTTTAACATCACAGTTAATTATATCCCATGACAGTCTCAGATTCTTCCTCATTGCCTTTGACTTTGCCACAGTCACTTCAAACTACTTTAATGAATGAAATTCGCACTAGGGATGTAATAGCGTAGTCAATTAACCAATAAGCAAAAGCTTATATGTTAATGCTATCAACTACATGTATTTCCCACTCCCTCCCCGCTACCACTAAATTTTTTAGCAAGCTGGCCAGCAGACCGGCTCAGTCCTGGATCTGGGACCGGGACCTACCCCCATTGCAGCTCTGTATTTAAAGTGTATTAGGAGTTAGGCGGGAGGGCAGCCCAACTCAGTTCTGGCTCACACCGGGTCCGAAAGCTCAGACTCTTCCCCCAGATAGGGGCGGCTGCCACCTTGCACTGTTGCCTCTATCAGAAGCAGCAGCAGAGGGCTTTAAACTAGTTTTTAAACTGGCTTCCCTTGCAGACCAGCTCCCGCCTGGCACCCTGTGGGTGAACAGAGTAGCAGGGGGCTCTTTTGGGAGGGAGGCTGGAGTGCACTGCCTGCTGGCTCTGCCCCCGGGGACTATAGAATAATTGACTAACTGCTAAGAATTCATATGGTTACTCAGCTATTCAATTACCCGATATTTATCATCCCTAATTTGCACCAGTAATCAACTTTTCTCACATCTATCCACAGACACTTTGTTATTTTCAACATGCAGCTAGTTTTTGTAAACAAAAAAAGCCCCTATATAAATGTATAAATCAATCTTTCACTATAATCCCCAGACTGAGTGAGGTCCTCTCATGACCAGTAAAACCATTTCTTTGTGCCGAATAAAATGAAATAGCTTTGTCAGCTATAACAGCTGGGTAGATCCTTAATGCTGAAAACGTACATTTCAATGCAGTGTGCAAGTCCTACAGGAGCACTATTTAGAACTCTCTGGGCTAAAGGAATTCTCAGCATATTGAGCAAAATACCAAGAAAGCTTTTACAGAAGTAATGGTTTCAGAATCCAAGCCCTAAAACAAGAAAATCTCAGCAAGACCTTTCCCTAACTAGGATGTAACAGTACCACAACTCTCAGGAGGGAAAAAAAAATTCAGGTGCATTGGGCCACATGTTACTTGTGTTCAGCACAATATGATTCTCACCAGAAATAGGCAGTGGGACAATAAAATAAGAGGTTAATGAGAAGAATAATTTTCTTCCAGGATGAAAAGAAAAGGTCATTAAAATCTTGCAGCTCTCAACAAACAGAAATAGAAAATGAACGGTTCAGAGGTGCTGCAACAAAAAGTGCAGAGATTTCTGCATGTTCTTGGT